TAACGTTAAAATGAAAAGTTCCGAGCTAAGTCCATAATTGGTTTAATCATCATGAATCAAATTCATTCAAAGTAGTGAACAAATGGTCTCAACAACATAGTTTTCACTGTATATACATTGATGTATAAAATTGAATAAACAGGCCCAAATTATATTTTATAATAGACTTTGTAATTCTGCTAATAAAAAAATATTGTAAACCAGTACGAAATTTAAGGTTCTCAAGGATAAACGTGTTGGTTTTCTGTAGGCAGAAACCAAATTTTCGAAAGAAAATACTCTTTCCATCTTCAAGCTTATAAGATACAGCGTGTTTGTCCGAAATGTTGGCATGTACCCGCAAAGTCCACAATGTGTACAATCAAGAATACCAACACCAACAAAAAACGAGATATTCTGCGATGTTCTTACAAATTTACCTTTTGGGTAATGATAGCTTACTAAAGTAGAATTTGCTAATATAGATGCCGTTTTCTTTGTTGTGGTGGCACTATGTAGACATGGAAGTAATGCAAAGGAGTTAATCACCTGTAAATAGTACGAGAATTATGCTGAATTTACTATAGAAAGTTTTATGAGCATGAATTCGTAAATTTGTAAAAAGTTTAAGTTCATACTAGCATTTTACTTAAACATGTTTTATACAAATTTGGTAAAAAAAAGACCTTTCCCCAACAAGGATCATAAAATGTTTTTTGTATGATTCTCAAGAAACAGATAAGGAACCGTTAGCTTATACAGCCGATGATACAAGATTGAAAGATTTTTCAGTAACGAAGATATTACAAAGTAAACACTTGTAAAGGTTTGTGTGCAGATGGTTGTCGAGGATTATTCCACAAGATGTAATCACTCTATAGCACAGAACAAACATGAACAGATCTTAGTTCGTTACTCTGATTGGACATAGTGACGTCACTGAAATGAAGCTAATCACAGTTCACGACGATAACTGTACAGACGTTTGTATGACTTCCATTCGTATTTCTTTAAGAGATGAAACCCCAAAATACTTCTTATTAACTTTATTTGTGTATGATCTTACCTCTGGAAATGATAACAAATATTACAGCTGTAGTACTGTTTCGACATCATAAAATGTTGAGAATTATATTTATCCAATGCACACATGAAACAAACACAAACACATCCCATCTTTCTATCTCGTTCCGAAATTGAATAGTTCATACTAGGGACTCTATAGAACACATGCCTCTTTAATTAAACTAATTATATCCCACGTGTCCAAGAAAAACCGTGTGTTTATGGAACCCGAGCGTTCAATACCGTTTTCACAACAGCCCCCCCCCATTTTCACAACAGCCCCCCCAACTGAATCCTGTCCACATCTTATCACATTTCTATTAATCAATATTAATATTAATCTTTCAGTCTTCTGTATTGGAGTTTTATATTTTATGTCTTAAACTGTAACCGCTTTCCATCGTTCAATTTTTCCGAAACTGTCTAGGATTATCCGTGGGAGTTCAGTGTTTTTGGAAACTTCCGGTATCTTGTCTACGAAAACGTGTTTTCGTGCTGATTAACGGCACTGAGACAAAGTGCCATAAGGTGGAACCGTGAATACGTGTTTCGTTTACATATTGCAGTGATTCAACACTCCAAAAACGAAAAGGATTTACCAGTGTCGAGATGCAAAATAACGAATTCGTCCAGTATTCTTGTGCAACAGTGTTCCTTATTCCAAAGACTCTCATAACAACGGCAACTTTATGGCTCACGAATTTATTAGAGCGACAAGTCTTAATAAAGAATGTTATAAACGTCACATTTGTTACAGACTGCAAAGTAGAAGCACGTTACTTAAATAACAGACCAGTTAAAAAATCACTTTACTAATAAGGAATTCAGATCTACTTGCATACGTCTTTTTCATCGAGTTATATGAAACTGTCGCCAAAGACGTGATAAATAGCACACTGAAGTTATGGTGATTCATGTGACATTTTACGACGCTGTTTGAATAACGTGTGTTATACACCAGCCAATTACAAGATAACATAATGATAAAGGATGAACAAGAAATCCGTAAGCATCTCTGAAACGTCTGTCAGTTTCTGCGTCATTACAAGGCGTAATATTCACAAGACAGTTACCTCGAATAAATCATTTCTAAGAAATTTAATATATTTGTAACGTGTGGTGTCGTCAATGTGGTAGAATATGATTCACAAAATCAAAAAAAAAAATATATATAGTATAATTGCGTCATATTGTGAAATTACAAGGCGTAATATTCACAAGACAGTTACCTCGAATAAATCATTTCTAAGAAATTTAATATATTTGTAACGTGTGGTGTCGTCAATGTGGTAGAATATGATTCACAAAATCAAAAAAAAAAATATATATAGTATAATTGCGTCATATTGTGAATCAAATATTAAATTAATTATTCGGTTTGTCCGTCTAATCACAATTATATTTAAAATTTAGTGTTTCTTTGAATCATTTGCTTTGCAGACCGATATAGAACATCAAAAGCATTTCACTTCAAAACAATACATTCGCTCCAATATGTGAAAATAATCTGGATATGAACATCACCAAAAAGCTACACAACAGAGATTATTGATATAATTTTACACCTGAAGATGGTTCGATGAAACCGAAACATGTTGTAAAAATGTTCCAAATGTAAATCGATTATTCGATGTGGAACACAAAAGTATATTTTAATTATGTTATTTGTAAATTTTAAATATAATTGTGATTAGACGGACAAAACCGAATAATTAATTTAAAAAAAAAGGTAAAAATGTTTACCCTTTTTGAAAATATATGTGACGTTTATGGTTTTACACATGCATAACACACATTTACTGATACAACAGATTTATACCACGTTTATGTTACACCGGTGCGTTATTTAAACGAAACCTATTCAAATGAAGATTTCAATTTATTCACGATTCTCAGCAATGCAAGTTTTATGTGCATACGAGCAACACTTCTACTCGATAAGGCAGAGTTACCGCACGATTCAGAAATGTACAACTGGAAATTACGTACAAATTCTTGCAACGATAACCGAAAGAAAGTTGTACCGAGGTGTATGTACTACAATAAACTACAGACCATGATCTGGTGTCCTGATAAACTGTTTATGACGTATCATTTCGGTGTCGTGACTAACAGCACGGCTAAAAAGTAATGTTATCACGAGGTCGAATTCTCCACAATTACACTGCGTGTGACCAAGGTTAAGAATGACGAACGTAAAGAATTCTAAGCCACTTCAGGGAAGGGGGTAATCTGTATCTGATCGCAAAAAATTCACAACCAGCTGACCAACAATTTTATTATTAAACGATTATGAAATCAATTCCGATCAGCTGTAGTCGCCCACTGTTTTACAATTTCTCGACACTTTTTAAAATCCTAATTTTAGTTATATTTAACCAAACTGTAATTGATAATTGATTAGGTAATAATACTAAGGTAAATAATTAATTATAAAGCTCTCTGCTGTGTATTTTAACAGTTAAACTGTTACGTTAAAGTACGGCTTTTAAATCTTATCTTAATTTTCAAAAATTTATCTCGCATTTAAATTATTACTTGGTTTAATATATCGATTGTGACGCTGACATCTGAATTTATATCGATTGTTATCGTGCAAAACAGCCAAAGGAAAGTTGGTAATCTTATCGATACAAATTTTGACGAGCTGAGAGATGAAAAATTAGTATCGTGACTTTTATTTCACGGAAAGGCTGGTATTTTGAATCTTATCATAACAACGGCTAACTGCTGTTTGTTTTTTCAACGTTTCGTGTTCCGTGAGCACGCGAAGACAAACCGAGAAGCTGAACAGAGCTACAATAATTGTAGAGGAAAGTAAGTAAGACGAGAGAACGTGACGTCACTATTTAATTATGTGATTGTTTATGGCTATACTATCAGAAAGGAGTAAGAGAGTCACGTCGAGAACATACGAAATGAATGGAAAGAGAACGGAAATCAAATATTCCACATCATGCAAAACATCCATTATAATACACAGTACACGACGAGAGGGCAGTGTGTTCGGAAAATACGTAAACTCTAATACCATGTAATTGGTAAAACTGCATAGTTAAGGGAGCTCTGAATAGACCTTGGAGGCATTCGACAGCACGTTATAGGTAATGCTAAGGTTCTGAAGGACTGAGAAGTATGTAAGGGGCTTCCTTAATGTAACATAACTCAATTTCGTCACTAAGTTTCAAAAAATAAATCACTATTATCTGTAAAATTAATAGCTGTCATTTGTACACGTATTATTAACAGTAATTTACGAAACTAATTAAAATCACATTACTACTGACATTTATTTTTCTGATCTGATACTGGAATGTTCCGTTGTTTCAATCTGACCATGTTTTCTTTAATGCCATGTTGATTTATATTACGTAACATTTTTGCTGTGTTCAGAACGAGAAACAGACGTGTGTTAAATCGGAAGGGTGGGACATAAACATAGCAAGAAATAATGAAGGGATATAAAACAAATGTACTCATTCAGTAAGAATCTCTTTAAAAGTTTTCGGGAGCAAACTGATTGTGATGGACATGTCCGCACGAGACAAGCAAATCATTTCCCCGCTATAAGATAGCGCAATTGAACCTGCACGAATTCTAATACTGGCTTCGTCACGTATGTATGCCCCTCTGTCCGACTGTCTAAATCTGGCGGAGGATTGCAACTTTTGGTTAAAATCTGATACCAGCAGCGGGTACTATAAATAAATATAGACACACATTTCTGAGTTTACAAGTAAATTGGTAAGGAATCATCTCTTTAGAAATCCCGAGATATATAGGCATCCAAATAATATTGACGCCGGACAATTAAAACAAACACAGAATTTTTGACTATTTTAGTAAAACTCTCTAATAAATAAAGTCACGAATCATATTATCTATTCTCTACTACTGCGTGCTTAGACATCGCAAAGATAACATTTAGCATTTTTGCAACATTTCTCTAAAGGTACCTTAGAGCGTAGATGATACTCGTTCTCCTGATGAAGGCGAAGAGTAATACAAGCGAAACAGGAAAAGTGTACACAGTCCGGGAGCCAATGTATCGTCAGGTCTCCAGTTGACAACATCTGCAGCATAGCGGAACACGCCCTGGTCACAGTACGCTCGAGTGACACACTGAGTTATTTACCTGTCTCTACTGGAGACAGTTAACCTCGGTACAAGTAAAGGGCTACAGGCCTAGAGGGCTAAGGACTGAAGCCCCACTAAATAGTCGCTGCTCCCTACAAACTTATGTCCCTCCAAGTCCTGCTCTGAAGGCCTACCCACTAGACGGACGGCTACTCTTACCCTGCCAGGGGTGTCCAGTCAGGACACGACCCGAGTGAGACGCTGTGGAGATTCAAGAAAACCCAGAACATGTGGATGATAGAGAAACTTAAAGACAGCTGTCCTCTAGATCAGTGGTATTCAACCTGGGGTACGCGAAGACATCTTAGGGGGTACGTGAATTTTAAAAAAAAAAATATATTATTTTATGATAGACACTGAATAATCAGTAATGTAATTTATTTAATTTATTTTAGATGTAGATTATATACTATGCATAACTTGAAATATACACCAACAACTTTGGGGGTACAAAGTTGAAGAGAAATTATATCTGGGGGCACGCGAAGACATCTTAGGGGGTACGTGAAATTTTAAAAAAATATATATTATTTTATGATAAACACTGAATAATCAGTAATGTAATTTATTTAATTTATTTTAGATGTAGATTATATATTATGTATAACTTGAATTATACACCAACAAATTTGAGAGTACAAAGTTGAAGAGAAATTATATCTGGGGGCACGCGAAGACATCTTAGGGGGTACGTGAAATTTTAAAAAAATATATATTATTTTATGATAAACACTGAATAATCAGTAATGTAATTTATTTAATTTATTTTAGATGTAGATTATATACTATGTATAACTTGAATTATACACCAACAACTTTGGGGGTACAAAGTAGAAGAGAAATTATATCTGGGGGTACGCGAACAAAAAAGGTTGAATATCACTGCTCTAGATTGTTGCACCGTGTAGGCTGATGGAAGTTTACCGACGTTTCAGAGGTGTTCAAAGCCTCCGTCATCAGGGAAAACGTCCTGATGATGCAGTATGGACAATAGGAGATATTAAGACGAGGAAACAAGAAAGTATATATAATTCTTGATTACAGATCATTATTACTTTAAAAATAAAGACGTGTTTCCCATTTTTACTTACTTACAGTCATTTGGTTTCGAAATGATGGTATCTGCTGTACTAGAGCTTCAAAAAAACATTCTTTCTTATAATTTTAAAATTTAAAACGACGACAAAACATATTTTCGGGATGCAGTACAATCGAAATTTGTATTTGTGTGTGTAGAAAAATGTATAAAGAAGAGCCCTTACCTGTGGTAATGTGTTTCCCAATGCTGATAGAACAAATTGCAAAGAGAACAGAATTTGTACGTTCGTTACTGTAAATTTTTTTTTATGAATTTTGTTAAATATAAAACTACTAAACAAACACGGCGCATTTTAATACTTCGTTGTTTCGCTCTATGAGGGCCGTTATGGAAAACCAATAGTGAAATTCCTGAAGTAATCCATTCTCAGGAAATTGCGTCCTGTTTGCGGAGTAAATAACAGAGCGCTGTGTACAAACATTATACAGGAACGTCTGAGACGTAAATACGATAAAATACAGACCACATGTTATTGGGCAAAAAAAAAAAACAAGCTATTGGTTATTGAGCCAAAAACTCAGTAATAAAAAATCGGACCCATTGGCTTAAATCTACATTCAACTTTTTCAGTTTGGAAACAAAGGATGCATTGTCTTTTAAAAAAATTCTCTTGCATTTATATATTACTTCAAATCAAATACTGCATAAAATACGAGTATATAAATAATATAAATGCCTTGATTGAATGTTCTGGCGTCGTATAGTGTTGTACGTCGTTTCGGAGGAAAGTATCACCTCCATCTTCAGGTTTGATTCAACCCGGTACATGGTAGCCGTACGTTCACTCACACCTGAAGACGGTAATCAACTACAAATCTATTCGGCGTCACAATAAAAAATATCACGCTCAATACCTTTATCGCCATGAGAAAATAATATGTATTCCTACATTTCATCGTCTACTGACAAAATATTTTTAAATCAGAGTTTTATAATTTATGTAAATTATATATTTCGCTTCTTCTGTTCAAGACTGTTATGCTCAAGGATGCTTTTTAGATATTTAAAGAATAAGAATGTTAAAAGTGACCCTTGTTGGTTGCGAAGTAGGGCTATTAGATACACTAGTGGCCAAGCACATGTTTTTGATATTTTCAAAACAAAAACTGCGAAGATATTTCGAGATGGACGGAGCACGAAACAAGCATGGAAGATATGAGAAGTGCATACAAGAATTTAGTTAGAAATTCTGAAGGAAAAAATAGCCTTATCACTAACGCCTTTGGTGTACAAAAAAAAATGCTGTTATTGAAACTCGTTTGCTCTATATAAAAGTCTTATAGACAATGTTCCTTAAATACTATATATACGAAGTAGCTGATATTATATTGTACGAGGTAGTTATATGAATCAAACCCTGATATATCACATAGTTGTAAGGTTTCTGTTGAAATTTCAACAAGAGTTTACACACCCCTGTACAAGCCAGAAGGTTGGCTGTACTGAGATAAATTAATAGTGCATTTACCCCGACAAGCAAACTTCTGATTCGACCTAATAATCCTTGCATAATTACACAGTTTACCTTATTCTTTACGTAGGCAATGAAACATGGTAATTAGATTAAACTTGTAAATATTCCACATGTAACGGGACTCATTAGACAATTAATTTATACAACTGACAATTTGACGTTTTGCAGACCGCGCGAGATTTGCTTTGTAGTGTCAGAAACAAATTCGTTCCAGAATTACCACAAACTTGAATAAATGAAGGAGATGTCAGAATGCTAACCACTCCATTGCTATTGCAACACTGTTAGACTGTCCCTGTGGGTCTGAACCTCTTAACAGACCCTTCGTCCATCCCACAGACAAAACATGACTAAATATGGAGCAGCGTTGGAATGAAAATGACAGAGGAAATCCGAAGAACTCGGACAGAAACATACCCCAGTGTCACATCGTCTACCACAAATCCCACGCGGAGTGACCTGGAACTGAAGCCAGGCGTCTGCTGTGAAAAGCCAGCCACTAACCTCCTGAACTATGTCACGTGCGTAAATGCTACATTAGTGTGTTTTTTCTCTATAAACTGTAAGACCGTGGACTATTTACACAATTTGATTTGTTTCTTCCCGAGTTTCCTTGTTACTGGTGTCATTTCAAGACGTTCGGAAGTACACTCAGGACCATATGAATCTAAGGCAAACCTAACCTTAGTGTAGGTTTAAGGTACAAGATGGCAAGGAACAAAAATGACGGCCAGATTTTAATTTATAGGGGAAATATGTTTTTGATATAAGAAAGACTGGAAAATGCAATCCACTGAAATACCAGAAGGGAAAATAAAGAAAGAAAGAAAGAAAGAAAGAAACCTTGCAGGATATTTCATTAAGTGGTAAAGAAGACGGAATACGTATAACAAAAATTTAATTTTTCACTTGTTCAGTCGAATTTTCTTCTGTGCACAAAAGAACATAAATGGAATGAAAGATGGTTAGGATAAATGAATTTAAAGTTGATTTCATCTTTCGTATTTCAACTCCTTTTTTTTCCCAGCGAGATACAACAAATAAATTCGAGTAGATTCGTTTACGTCGACATATATTTTAAGTCGTATGAAATAAAAGATCCTTATTAGGTTTCACTTGGTTCTTCTCGGTAAAAAATTCTTTCCGCATCTTTCGTTTCGTTAATAATATACGCCTAAGTCGTCTTAGTGCAGTTACTTCCTAATGGAAATGGTCTCGCTTGTAATCAAGGCGGTCTGTAAGCTCATTAGGGAGAAGGGCACATTTTAAATTTAAGATATTTCCCATTCTGAGATGTTGCCCCGTCTTGTAGGTAGCGAAAGACGTTTCAGAGGTACTTATCGCCTTCTGTAGCTTTGGTCAGTATTTAAAAGACTACACGGCCACTTTCACACTCGTCGCCTTGAAAACGTGAAATATTACTTAATTCACATAATTGTGTTTACGTATTTTACAAAAGAACGGTCAAACAGGTCACACGAAACTATGCATGAAAAGGTCATAATTTAATTAAAAAATTTCTATTCGGAAAACATGAAAAGATGACACTACAGACGTACATAAGAAATAAGGCAAAATTGCCTCTGGTACTTAATTAAGCACCACGCCATGAAGACGTATGAAGGTGTGGAGGTATAGCTCCATAAATTCGGTGCTGGGCCTAAGTGACCCCTCACCCGCGACGAGGGCAGATTGAAGCCCCGGAAAGGCTGTCCATAGAAATGTTGTATCGTCCGACAGATTACAGATCTACATCCTGAGATGTACCCCCTCCCCCCCCCCCCGTTTACATCAAAATGATTATATATTAGACGATCGATAAATGATTACTCTTAACGTACTAGATCTACGGCAAGGTGAGTTATTTGTTTGGAAATTTTACAAGTTCTGGAAAGTTAACGTCTTCTGAAAATTATAACTTTTTTTACTTTAACGCACGGGCCGATATAAAAATACGATAGGGAAATAAAAATGAAATAGCATCTTGTGATGTGTAACGCAGCAAACAGGACCCACAAACTACGGAAATCGCCCCCATAAATTCCGTACCGACCCGGTAACCACTTGCAATATCGACAGATAACATGAGAAACAGGTAACGCAGACGTGGACCGAGGCACATGTGGTCCGCGAGGTCGTTATGCGGGTAGACCGCGGAGTCCTGGACGTGTCGTGTCGTATCCAACGTCGCCATACATCAAACCAAGCGCCGAAATAACTGAGTAGCTGAATCACGTACGTATTCTCTCATTTACAAAGGTCACATTCTGG